TCTAGCTTAACCACTAGAGAGAGAAACAAAATGACTGTTTCTTTCACACACTAAAGGGATTCCACACCACAGCCATCTGCCCAGCAGAGACGCCTGTTTGTTTGTGAGGAGTTTTGATTGGACTGAAGAGGATACTGAGAGGAGAGGAGTGTCTCTGACCAGGCTAGCTCACCTTGGGGCTGGGGTTGGGGCTGGGGATGACGGGACGGCCAGGTGTTTTATAGTATTTGTGGCTGTGATCATCCATCAGCACGATCGATCACGCTCCCAGCAGCTTTTATTAATGATCTTGTCAGCCGCCCAGCTCCTGGGTGCCTGTGCTTGTCCAGAATGATAGATCATTAGCTAGTCTGCCTGCTATTTATTCTCTCATGACCTTGTCTCTCCCCATTGTTGAGTAGACCGAGTTATGAGTGAACATGATAATTCAATATTGATCCGTTTTACTCCTCAAAAGGTTTGCAGCCCAGATCCTCTGTCCATTACAGATAAAAACTGCAAACACACACAGACGCATTCGGGCACAGATGCACTTGCATACGCACACACACACACTCACCCACATGAATGATCACGTATGCAGAAAGGAGAAATATGGAACAGGAAACAATTAACAACCTATAGGGATGGACAACGAAGAAAACATAAAAAACAAGATAATACAATTACAGTATGTATTTTTCTTTACAGTATGTATTTTTCTTTACAGTATGTATTTTTCTTTATAGTGTGTTTTTTCTTTACAGTATGCATTTTCTTTACAGTATGTATTTTTCTTTACAGTATGTATTTTTCTTTACAGTATGCATTTTTTTACAGTATGTATTTTTCTTTACAGTATGTTTCTTTCTTTACAGTATGTATTTTTCTTTACAGTATGTATTTTTCACTATAATTTTCAATCCCCTATAGAATTGATAGACTACTTCAAGAAATTCTTAAATGAGTTAGGATACTTTATTCTTGTAATAAAGTATACTTCACATCCACTCCCAATCCCCATGAGAGCTGAGCCAGTTGTAACATTGTGTCAGTGGTGACGAAGAGCAGATCACTCTCTGTCCCTTTAAATGAGATCCCAAGTCAGCAGGAGTTTAATGAAAACCAAGCCTTGGGCAGAGCCACAGAGGTAGAACAGAATAAACATTAGCATGTAAACAGTAGCACTGTACTGCCTGAGTGAGCTGGCTTCCACAGCACAGAGCCCAAGCAGACACTGGGGGGTGAGCGGGGAGGTGAGGGGTGTGTGCCCCCACCATGTCCCGTGGCTGGAGAGCGGCTGGGGGACAACATGAGGCCTGTCATCCTTTCATCCCTCACGCCGCTATGTTTTATTAGCTCTGTCATATTAATCAATTAGCCACCGGCTTGGCACTCAGGCACGGCAATGTTCTTTTGAACACAGCCTTTTGTTATTGTCAAAAGTGTGTACGTGTGCACGTTTGACTGTATATGTTTGCGGGCTGTTTTTTTCTCCTCCTCTCCCTCCCTGTCTCCCAGTACATACCATTTATGTACCATGTTTTTAATACATTTCATTCCCTGACTTATTCTTTGTTGTTTTCTGTATCTCACAATTACTTCAAAGTCAGACCTGTTTACTCTGCAGTAGGAGTGTTCAAAGACGATCCAGTATGAACCTCTCGTTCTCTCTCTGAATCATTTATGATGGATCCCTTTCATGTGCCGAATGACTTAGAAGACTCAATAAAAAAGAGAGAAGTTTGAAAAAAGAAACATGGAGGGAAAAATGAAGAAACACCTTGAGCTCAACAACTGAGTGGAAATACAAAAGCTCTCAATTAGCCAGGTATCAATACATAGCAGCAGGGCATTCTCTTTGAAAGCCCACACCCTTTCAAATATTAAACCCCCCTCGCTCATTTGAATTCAGTGTTAGATTGCGATGGCATTTGGCTTGCTCTAGTCTCCTCCCTCTCTTTCTTCTCCCCGTGTGTTAGGGGAGAGGCTGTCTGTCTTTCTGCATGCAACTATAGCAGTATTCATCGCAGGCAGGCAGGCGTGGAGGAGACGAGATGAGCCCAGTCAAACGCAGCAGCGGCGGCGGCGCTTGCCCTTCTCTCTGCCTCCTCTCCCTGGTGGCCCAATAAGCAGCCATCTGCAGACAACCTCCACCACCACGCTCCAGCAGCCACACAGCCAGTGGGGTGGGGGTGTGTGTATCTGTGTGTGTGTTTGGGAGGGTAGGGGAGGGGAGGAGAGAAGAGGAAGTAGTCCAAGGGCACAAGCACTCCATCACGCCAGAGTCCTGGGAGTGACCTCCCACCACCTGAGTGTTGGGCCCACCCTGAGTGACTGCCATGCTGGCCAGGCCCAGCCACGGTGTGGGCGCTGCGAGCACAGAGCCTGTCCACTGGTGCCCCAGCAATCTTCCCAGCACATCCATCCTGCCCTGCCAGCCCACAGATCGATAGACCTGCTCTTTTAATCAGGTCTCTGGTGACTGTGGGTAGTGGAGGAAGAGGGAGGCTTGTTCCTTCCACTCTCCCTCCCCACCTCTTTACCACTCTCTTGTTTTCCTCTATTTTCCTCCCTTCCTGTCCGTTTACTCCATACTTGTTTTATTCCCATTTCTCTCCTTCTCGTCCTCCCTCTCTCCCTCACACTTTACTGTAGGTGTCTGTGTTGTCTTCCCCTCTCTACTGTATCCCTCTCCATGCTGTACTGTAGTGTGTCTGTGTTAGCAGGTTGCCAGGTTTCAGGGAGCCAGTATCCCAGGTTGGCCCAGCAGCACCGCTGGCTCCCAGCCTGATGCTGCCAGGCTCCAGCCCTGCCTGCCTGCCTGCTGCTTGGCACACACACTTTAATTGTGCTGATGTATTGATATAGAGCTGCGCCATACCGTAACATAATTTATACAAGATCATTCCCAAAGATGCAAACACAAAGAGAAGGAACGTTGGGGCTCTGATACATGGGCTAACTACACAGATCTCCCCCTGCCGCCGACACCTCCAACTGAATTTTACTCTGCTATTTTCAAGAGTGTGTACAGACTATCAAATTGTATATTAAATTATATACAAACTCTATATTCAGATTGAACAAGATGTTGCCTCTGGCTGCCCTTAACAAGCCAACACATCAATGGGAGCAGTACTATTGAGTCTGTCTTTCTCAGAACCCATGGAGTCTTTGTGTACTTGTATTTCTATAGACACTTACTCTATTTACACTGGACAAAAATATAAATGCAACATACAACAATTTCAAAGATGTTAGTAAGTTACAGTTCATATAAGGAAATGAGTCAATTGAAATAATTTAACTAGGCCTTAATCTATGGATTTCACATGACTGGGAATAAAGATATGCACCTGTTGGTCACAGATACCTTAAAAAAACATAGGGGCGTGGATCAGAAAACCAGTCAGTATCTGGTGTGACCACCATTTGCCTCATACAGCGCGACACATCTCCTTCACATAGAGTTGATCAGGCTGTTGATTGTGGCCTGTGGAATGTTGTCCCACTCCTCTTCAATGGCTGGTCAAAGTTGCTGGATATTGGCGGGAACTAGAACACGCTGTCGTACACGTTGATCTAGAGCATCCCAAACATGCTCAATGTTTGACGTCTGGTGAGTATGCAGGACATGGAAGAACTGGGACATTTACAGCTTTCAGGAATTGTGTACAGATACTTGCGACATGGGGTCGTGCATTATCATGCTGAAACATGAGGTGATGGCAGCGGATGAATGGCACGACAATGGGCCTCAGGATCTCGTCACGGTATCTCTGTGCATTCAAATTACCATCGATAAAATGCAATTCAGTTCATTGTCCGTAGCATATGCCTGCCCATACCATAATCCCACCGCCACCATGAGGCACTCTGTTCACAACGTTGACATCAGCAAACCGCTTGCCCACGCGACGCCATACACGCTGTCTGCCATCTGCCTGGTACAGTTGAAACCGGGATTCATCCCTGAAGAGCACACTTCTCCAGCGTGCCAGTGGCCATCGTAGGTGAGCATTTGCCCACTGAATTCGGTTACGTCGCCGAACTGCAGTCAGGTCAAGACCCTGGTGAGGACGAAGAGCACACAGATGAGCTTCCCTGAGGTTTCTGACAGTTTGTGAAGAAATTATTTGGTTGTGCAAACCCAGTTTCATCAGCTGTCCGGGTGGCTGGTCTCAGACGATCCCGCAGGTGAAGAAGCCGGATGTGGAGGTCCTGGGCTGGCGTGGTTACACATGGTCTGCGGTTGTGAAGCCAGTTGGACGTACTGCCAAATTCTCTAAAATGACGTTGGAGGCAGCTTATGGTAGAGAAATTAACGTTAAATTCTCTGCAACAGCTCTGGTGGACATTCCTGCAGTGAGCATGCCAATTTTACGCGTCCTCAAAACTTTAGAGTGGCCTTTTATTGTCCCCAGCACAAGGTGCACCTGTGTAATGATCATGCGGTTTAATCAGCTTCTTGATATGCCACACCTGTCAAGTGGATGGATTATCTCGGCAAAGGAGAAATGCTCACTAACAGGGATGTAAACAAATTTGTGCACAAAATTTGAGAGACATTTTTGTGCATATGGAACATTTCAGATATTTTCTTTCAGCTCATGAAACATGGGACCAACACTTTACATCATGGGTTTATATTTTTGTTCAATACAGTATATGAAATGCCACCATTCTGCTAAGAGGGAATGCTCATGTTATTTGTTCTTGACCCATGATGATGGTGTCAAACAATGAACGGCGTAGGTACTCGATCTCTCACATTAGCCTGTGGGAGGAGAGATGAAAAGAGAGGAGGAGGGTGGAAAAGAGAGGAGGTTGGAGGATTTCCAGCTGTGGGACACTTCTCTATCTAGACTCCTTCCTCTCTGCCTCTAGGCTCTCATCACACCTGTGTACCCACAGCTGCACACACCTACACACACTCACTTGATATGTCACCCCTTACACAGTAGCTGAATATTAAGCAAGGCTGCAATCAATAAACCAAACAGCAAAAACTGCATTTCCATACATCATCCATTTTATTACATTAAAATAAACTTCATTGCCAATTCAAGGGCATCCATCTGGATTGTAATTATGAACAATTTAAGAATGCACTGTATTCCCCTCTCTTCTTCTTCTGTGTATAATGTCAAGGATCTCTTGCTGCTCTTATCATTTTCACAGTTTCTTAATGTACTTGTGTGTTTGCATAATTATTCATGTCATGATCCCCAGTCATGCTAATGATCGTAGCACTCAGTCTTTAAAGAAGGCACCACAGCGTTATCGTATTAAATCAGTTCTCTATCATAGCGGCCAAACTAAATATATCTCTACAGCAGTTTAATCATGTGTAAGACACAGCACTGCTGAGCTCAGTGCCTCCAGGCCCAGCAGTGAACAGTCCTACAGTATTTATACCACTAACTCAGAGCTGAGTGGGGTCAATGGTGTAGTTAGTGGGATCCTCAATGAGGTCTCTTCATTCTTCCCCAGACCACTGTCTGGTGAGTCAGTCACTTGGGGTACATCTCGATGGTTTACTGTAGTATGATGAGGGTCTCTGCTCCTGCTGGAGGGAGGTGTCATGGAGGAGGTGGGGCGTGAAGGAGGTGCAGGCTTCTCTACTAGTTAGCTGGGGAAAAAGTGCTTGAGTAAGTCCTTCTTGTTGACCTTCCCCATCTGGTTCCTGGGCATCTCCTCCACAAGGACCAGGCCTGTAGGGATGGTGTACGGAGCCATGTGCTCTCTGAAACACAACACAGGACAATTAACACACAGGACAGAAACACATATAAAGGCCTTCACATATTAACACTTCTACTGCTTAACACACAGGCACACGCACACAGGCACAAAGCCATGAGACACTACTTGAGCGTACACACAATAACAATTACAGCGGAACAAAGGCTGAGCCTCTGGTGTTGCAGTCAGTTTGAGAGATAAGAGAACGTCCTTCATACACACTAGAGCGCCTCTCTCCCTCAGTATTATCCCCCAGACTACTTCAAGACATTTCCTATTTGGTTAATACAAAACAATATAATCAGCACAAAATAAAAAACAAAAAGTCATGGCAAAAACAGAAGGCTGAGCTAATTAAATGTTTTCCATTTTGAATGCATGGTTGTTATGTCGAGTCGTGAAGCCTGAAGCTTTTTTTATTATCTAATGGCTGTGTTGTGGCGATAGACAGAGAATAGTAAATCAATATATCATACTGTAGCATAGCGTACTTCTGTCCCTCGCAGCATACGGTTCTGTCTCTCTCTATACATGTGACTGCATGACTGTGTCAGACAACTATGTGCACGTGGGTGTGTGTCTGTCTAATGGGGCTTGTTCATGTCTGTACACTACGCACCCATCTCTCGGAGGCTCTGCCTGTTGTGTGTGTATGTATATGTGTGTGTCTGCACTAGCTAGTGAGGAACACAGCGCTTGACACAGATACAGAGTGACAGCTGAAGCCGGGGCACTGAGGAGTGAGCATCCATGCACTTGTTTGTGTCCCCCCTCCTCTCTCTCTCCCTTTCTGTTCCTCCTCTCATCTCCTTCACCCTGGCTGGCCCTGCCTTGGCCCTGTGCTTGCCCGTCCGCAGGCAGCACCTGTGGGTGAGGGGGACAGGGTCATTGGCAGACAGGCAGCGCTGTTAATCCACCATGCAGGACCAGCAGGGCACAGCAGTAGGGCCTGCACACCCCCGCACCATATGGAGCCCACAGCACACACACGCAAACGGGGTGGGCAGAGAGTGCTAGAGAGAAAGACAAAGACAGATGGAGGGAGAGAGACGGAGAGAGACAGAAAGAAAGAATACAGAGAGCGAGTGAAAGAGAGAGGGGGGGTGGCACAGGGCGGGAGAGAGAGAAGGAGAGAGACATGCCCTGAGCCATTCCACAGAAAGGGACATGTGTCTTCTGCCAGTGTTGGGGGGCAAAACAAACCACAGTGACATTTAGGGAAAAAAAGAAGCCAAGACCGAAACGGCTTGCCTGCCAGACAGAGAGTCCTCCATCAAAATCCCTAATTTCCTCAACCTCCCTTCTTCAGTCCACATCTGCCCTTGGCCCCTTCAGTTAAATGAGTTCTTGCTCTCTCTCTCTCTCACCTCTCTCTCACCTCTCTCTCTCATTGATTTTGTGGCTTCAGCAGCAGTTACTATAAACAAGTCTGGATGACTCCTTGGGGGACTGAGCAGTGAAGTCTTCCTCTAATTCAATAAATGCAGTGGACGCCATTCTATTTTCAAAAACACACAATTTAAGGTTTTCGTATGTTCCCAAATAGTAAAGCCACAGAACCCTAAACACCAACTAGCTGATGGAATGGAGTAGCATGACAAAGCATAGCTAACTAGCTAGCAGACATACCAATACATCCAATATCTATTAGAATTCGGTCTGGCACACGTTTGTAATACAAGAGATCTACGATTTATAAGCACCTTAATGGACGTGGTAAAATGAGTGGTTTTGAAATAAATACCTCTACAGGTATTGGGAGTTATGTATCTATATTTTTTTACTAATGCTGCTTTATGGCGCTGTAAAACTAGTGTGACAATAATGTCCTTTGTGTTGCCTGTTACCTGGCCCAAGTCTTCAGCTCTGACAGGGTCATGCTCAGCCCCCTCTTCAGCTGCACCACCGCTGTCACCTTCTGTCCCCAGGTGGCGTCCCGAACTCCAATCACAGCCACATCTGAGAGGTCAAGGGTCACCACACATGGGCATCAGCATAACACCCTGAAATAAGATACACCCTGAAAGCTACTGTAATATGTCAACTAGTAAAATAATTAATGTTGTTTAAACCCAACAAATCTAAATGGTGCTAATCTAATGGTGCCAGCCATGGAAACCAGTATGAAAAATGTATGCACTCACTAACTGTAAGTCGCTCTGGATAAGAGCGTCTGCTAAATGACTAAAATGTAAAATGTAAATGTAAACACAAAAGTCAGAGTATTTAGGCCAAGGTGCCAATGGAGGGTGTGTTTACCTGTGATGTCAGGATGGGCTAGCAGGTGTCGCTCCACCTCCAGAGCACTGATCTTATATCCTGCACTCTTTATGATGTCCACTGAGGTGCGGCCCATGATCCAGTACACCCCATCCTTATAGACCGCTGTGTCCCCTACAGGACACCATACAAACACAGGAAGACTGGGCTTAGATAGGAGAAACACAGCAAAACAAGCCCACGCTAAACAAAAATTGCTTAACAGTCCTCGTCTATCAAAGGTATGCACATCTACCATGTACTGAAAAACGCACAAACGCCATAATTCAACCCCTACTCCCAACGGGTTGTCATATGACTTGCCATATTGTGTCTAATAATAATAATAATAATAATAATATGCCATTTAGCAGACGCTTTTATCCAAAGCGACTTACAGTCGTGCGTGCATACATTTTTGTGTATGGGTGGTCCCGGGGATCGAACCCACTACCTTGGCGTTACAAGCGCCGTGCTCTACCAGCTGAGCTACAGAGGACCACAGGCTTGTGTGTGGAGGAGGTAGAGAGGGTGGGCTCATAGTACCACAAAGCAGGCCTGCTTCATTAGCGTGTCAGAGACTCAGTGGAACCACAGTAAACATGGCCAGCACAGTCCAGACCACAGCAGAACAGCTGAGACTGAGAGCTCCATCAATCAGCAGGTGAATGGCAATATCCTGGACGCTGCACACATGCACGAAAACACACACCCAGGGCTGCTGATGCTTTCCCCTCTGCTTTCTAATAAGTGAGTATTGAACCTGCTCTGGCTCTATCTCTTGGGCAAATAGCTGAGAGGAAAGAGAGAAAGAGAGCAGCTCAGCTGTTCCCCTTAATTACCTCCCCCATGCACACCACTGATTAGCAGCACAACGCCAAGACTCAGGTGTGCCGGGCTGTCTCAGTGGCACTGTAAGAACAACAGCCTATATAATATATAAAAAAAACACAAACATCCGTGGACCATATCTGGGAGCTGGCTGACATCCAGGCCACCTGACACCTCATCACTAGGTAACACTTTCTTTCAGCGAAAAACGCCACACCTATCAGCCAGGGCTCAGAGAGGCTGAGGAGAGGAGCTGAGTGGAATACTGACTGACTGTCATTCTGGAGCTGTGCCCTCAGACAGAAGAGACATGCTAGACACCTACTGGTGTGACCACGGGGGAGAACTGTAGTTGTGTGTGTTTGGGAGTGGCGTGTGGAAAGAGGAGGTTATGTGTGTGCGTGTGGGGGTGTTGGAAGTGTGTGTGTGGGTGGTTGGTGGGGGCTGGTTATTGAGTGTGAGGGCTCAGCTGGGGCTGGGGGATGATGAGGAGGGGAAGTGGGTCATTGTGGAGGATGAGTGTGGGACTGAGAGAGGGCGAGGGGGAGGTGTGGAGAGAAGGCGAGAGTTCTGGTGGATCATTACAGAGTCCCCAGCTGAGGCAGGGAGAGGGAAATGAAGGCTGTGTGAGAGGTTTGGGGGTGAATTGGGGTGTGTGAGAGGTGTGGGGGTGTTTTGGGGTGTGTGAGAGGTGTGGGGGTGTATTGGGGTGTGTGAGAGGTGTATGAGAGGTGTGGGGGTGTATTGAGGTATGTGAGAGGTGTGGGGGTGTATTGGGGTGTATTGGGCTGCGTATGAGGGGGTTAAGCGGGTGCTGGAGACGGCGCCTGGCCCAGGGCTGGTGGGTGGTGACTGGTGGAGGACAAGTGGAAGGTGCAGCAGGTGACAGATGCACAAGGTCACCCAGCCTCTCTCTCTGACTGCCTTCATTAGAGATACAGCATCAGGAGAAGAGAACTACGACATGACCTTCTATTCAGTCTCACTTCTACCAGACCATACAGTCACCTCTACATTCTATGACTCAGATCATATCAGTGTACATTATCATATACATAGTACACACTTACCATCGTATATGGTATCAAGGTAAGGAAATACTAGATAAAGACTTAAGCATAAATCAAAAGCAGTTTAGTTACAGTCTCTCATCTCCCCTCTATCACTCACCCACTCCATCATCTCAACCTCCCAAAATACATTCATCTTTCCTCTACATCCCTCTATCCATCCTGCCTCTTTCAGCACGCTCCGCTTTCAGTCCTGCGACTCCATCCCCTCCTCTCTATCTCCCATTTCTCTCTCGCTCTCTCCCCTCCTTTCTACAGTGTCTCTTCCTCTCCCATTGCCTCCCTCCCTCCCTCTCCTCTCTCTCTCTCTCTCCTCTCTGCCTCCGCCGAGCACAGCATCAATAGAGGGCCCATCTGTTCCCATACATCACGCACTTCATTTCAGTTTATTAGCCGGGATAAATCATAAATATTTCATTATACATCACGGGTGGCTGTCGCAGGGACGCCGCAATTTATCACCGCTGCCCTCTCTCCCGGCTCCGCACCGGAGCAATAAGCTTTCTAGTCTATTAAACAAGATTGATACAGTGTGTAAATTTAGATATTGGGAATTTCTTCACAGACCACTGCTCTGCACTGATAGACCGGGGCAATGGGGGAGGAGGGGGGTAGAGAGGAGGATGGGGGTAGCAGAGGAACTGGATGGGTGTTAACATCAGTAATAGTATATTTACAGTTTCCCCTTCAGTTTTAAGGAAGAAAACCCCAAAAGCCAGGAATAGTTTAGTCACAGGCGTGTAGCCCCGTTCTCATGTAAATAGAAAGTAGAATGAGAACATGTTTTACTTGACTACAGATAAGTGGGATGCCATGGGGGTGGAGTGGAATATATGCATTGCTTTTCACTTCACACCCCTTTACTGCTCAATGATGTCTGAGGGGAGAGAGGTCTACACTGCACAGCAGGCAGACATTACTAACACACAGTACAGTCAAATACACTTCAGCTGACTTTGAGACACTTGGTGCTCACTTGACGATGGCTGTTGTGACCTTACGTCTTTGAGGACCTGGAAAACAAGGAGAGAGAAACAGCGGCTGTTTGGAATGAGGGGCCAGTGGGAATAGTGATTGGAGACGAAACTGATAAAAATGGTGAGGGGGGTGTTTGCAAGTGTGTTACCAGGACACACAGAATAATACTTGTGATTTGGCATCCCAGTCTCATTACTGTTGTGGAGGACAAGCGGAGGAGGAGGGAGATATGGACGAGTGGCTTTCTTAATTAAAACGATAAGAAGCCTAATTGCGCTGGGCTTTCATCTCCTTCCTAGGCATGAACAAAAAAAAAAACGATGGATGGCAGTGAAGAAATGAAAAACAGTGGAGTGAGGAAATAATAGAATAGAAGATGGAGATGGTGTGCAGAGAAAGTTCCTGGTCTGCAGTGGAAATGTCTCCTCTCCTCTCTCCTCCTTGCCAGTGTCTGTCTCCCCCTGCCTGACACCATGATCTCAAGCCTGGCTGGAAGTCTGAGACAGGGAAAAGGCAGGGAAGTGACAGTCAGCACTGCCCAAAGCCAGACACATTTTTGTAAACGCAGAGGCACAAACATACACCCACTCTTGTCTTGGGCTGCTCTGGGCACACTCAGTGGTAAGGTTACACTGTGGGAGGTTTTGGTGTGTGTGGGGGGGGGGGGGGGGGACTCTAGAAAGGGCAGAGTGAGACAAATGACAAAGGCCACGCTCAGCGTCACACACACTTCTGTCAGCTCCAGGCGCCGCTGCTCTAGCCGTTGGAGAGGGACACATGGAACACATGGAACAATGTCTGTACAAGTTGCAAGTTTAAGGACATCAAGTAGGTCCTGTATCAGCCAGTCAGCATTTCACCTCACACAAGACGCAATCAACTTACTAAGTAACGCAGTGATGAAGATAAGCCAGTAGCCATGTTCTCAGTGAGAACATCCAGCATCGCAGTAAGAGCAGAAGGCCTTATCTGAGCTGGATGAATGGGGGGTCTGCTACTCTGTTTATCAGCCATCTCTCTTTAAGAACAACAGTCAACACAAAGCAGGGAGACATTAATATTAATGCCAACATTAAAACCCAGGCGACTAAATGGAACAGCTAATGAGGATGAATAACAGACAACCGCTGACAAAAATCACCAGCTCTGATGTTATTTATCATCCTTAACTTTTGTCACAGCTCCTTTTTGCGTAATTAATATCGTACAAGAAAGCGGCTTCGCACTTGGATGAGTGATCTAATTTGTTTAATACAATGCAATTAAAGGGAGAGAATTGCTTTATGTTAATGTTACTGACTATGTTGCTCGCGGTTGCTTATCGTCTTGGTGAGATAGCGAGCAAAACTTCTACGATTGATAACCTCTCCCGGAGATCTGGCGTGTACTTACACTAACTACTTGACTACAGTCTGCATGCAACTGTTCACCATGTTGACACACAAGAGCCGGTGCAGTAGCAAGCTCCCTAAAATCGAAACAGTAACCATTTATACAAAGACATAGCAGAGTTCAACATGGCAGCACACTGCCTCCACTGTAGTGGTAATGCTAGTATGCCTATCAATGTACTGTAGGCATTTCCCTGCCTTATCAGTGAGTCTAAAAATACTTACAGCCTGTTCCTTCCATCCTACCTATACCTCCATCCTCTCATCTCATGGCCAACTCTATCAGAACAACACAAAGAGGTCCCTCCATCCCCTTCCATCTGCCATCAGCCACAGCATGTCTCCAGTTGACAGCCAGCTCAGAAAATACTCACTATTTATCAATCAGTCTTTCCACTAAAAATAGAAAATAAATGCCAAGACAAAAGTAGAGTAGGTCAATAAACCTAATGTGGGCTGTTCTACCAGTCTTTGTTTCTTCTTTGGGCACACAGAATGTTTATAGCATTCCAATGTAGAACTAGTGGCTTACCACATATCCTGCAGACACAAGTGCTTACTGAGTTGAAGTACAATACCTTTACCAGAGTATATGGCTACACAGAGCTCCACATGTCAACACCTTGATTGGAACATATCATTGGAATGGATGTGTAGCCTTACCATAGGGGAAATGGAACAAGGGGAAGGTGGGCGGTAGAGCCATGAGGGGAACGTGACATTGGAGGGGCACCGCGTTCTGAGCGGAGGTGAAATGTGACATTGGGAGGGGAGAGGGGAGAGGGAGGAAGGGAGAGGAGGAGAGACGCATAGGGGAGAAGAACACTGCTGGGAGCAATGGCGGAACGCTTAAATCACTAGCGATGCCTGCCTGCCTGGAAAATAAGGCACACTGCTGACTGTCTGTCTGTCCTGCAGACTTTTCACCTCAGCTGAGAGGTTAAGACTGACAAAACTTTAAAACCTAACACGCACTGAGCACACACACACAAATGTAAAAAATATTTGCAGATTGAATGCAAAATCCGGCCACAGTACAAACTACACACAAAATCAACGGACCACAGACTAGTGATGGGGGGAAAATCGATACAGGAGAGTATCGCCACATTATTTTTGACGATATTATATTGATTCTATAACTCCAAGTATCATTTAAAAAAATCTAATATACAGTATATATACTGTAGTGTATGTGTGTTTGCACTTGTGGTTTGTGTGTGCTTGCGGTGTGTGTGGTAATGTAACGGTAATGAGCCTGGCTCTGTGAGAGGTTCTGCTCTCCTTTCTGCCCTGAGATGATCTGAGGGAGGTTGAGCTCCACTCCTCTCCTCTCACCCTAGTTAACATTCTCCCCTCTCCCTCCAGTGGCCTGCACACCCACATCCAGGCCTGCCTGTTATTTACGAGCACAGCAAGGCTAATGTGCAGTCCCCAAACAGTGCTTACCCGAGCACTGGCAACTTTTAAGATGCCTCCATTATTCATAAGTATGTGCACGCAGCATTTGGAAAATTGCTAATGCTTTCCCTCCCTCCCAGCCATCTTTATTTATTGATATATTTATTTATTGTTTTTCAGCGCATAATCCATTCCGGGGAAAGAGTGAGCTGTCCTGCTAGAGCGCTGGAGACCAGCTGAACCCCACTTCTCCCAGTCTCTCCCGCTCTCTTCCTCTACCCCTCTCTCTCCATTTCTATCTCTGTAGCGCTACCGCTAATAAATTAATGGTCTTGTTTACGAGGGACAGTCTTAAGGACTGCACTGGTACAATGGAAAAAACTTATTAGTAAGAGCCTAACCACACAGGCAGGGAGCCTGCACACAAACACCAGAGGCAGAATAAATCTGACCGCAACAGTCAATATTTCATGGAGGGAGTCGAAGATAACGATCCATCCACAACATAGGTTATGAATTCATGATGGCGTTAGACCTTGGCAGGATTCCTCACACCGTCTGTGTGCTTGTGTGTCAGCACGGTTGTCACGAGGTTGAAATGATGTTAAGATCCTGAAAGAGGGATGAGACTAGTGGAGGTATGGTTTCAGTTGCTATGTCCAGAGACTGGTTCATCATTAGTGTTTGGCATGGTTAGACCCAAATCAAACAGTCAGTAACTCTAAGCCAGTGTGAATGATTTGTTTTTATTTGTATTTATTATGGATCCCATTAGCTGCTGCATACACTTCCTGGGGTCCGGCAAAATTAAGGCAGCTTTACAATTGTAAAAACATTACAATACATTCATTACAGAATTCACAACACACTAAGTGTGTGCCCTCAGGCCCCTACTCTACTACCACATATCTACAACACATTATCCATGTGTACGTGTGTGTATAGTGTGTATGTGATCATGTGTCTGTGCCTATGTTTGTGTTGCTTCACAGTCCCTGCTGTTCCATAAGGTGTATTTTTATCTGTGTTTTAAATCTGATTCTACTGCTTGCATCAGTTACCTGATGTGGAATAGAGTTCCATGTAGTCCTGTGCGTCTCCCATAGTCTGTTCTGGACTTGGGGACTGTGAAGAGACATCTGGTGGCATGTCAATAGGTGGCCTGGAGCCACTGGCCAGTTAAGGAGACTGACACACATTCTGTCCCTCTCCCTGGTAGGTAATCTAGCAGACACAGACAGCTGAAAGGGAGCTACTGAGGAATACGTTTGAAAGCAGGGCAGATTGGAGGAGAGGAGAGGCCGAGCGAGTGAGTTGACACAAAGAGAAGTGAGGAAAATCAATGGGAACAAACGTAGTGTGGAGATGGGCGCAAAGTGAGCACTCAACAGGGTGACAGCTTATCCATAGAGGTGCCAGTCAGGCCACACTTACCCAATTAAAGATACCGCCAGGCAAACAGAAACCATGTTGATCTCTTGGCTCTCTCTATTCTTTTCTCTTCCTCCCTCTCTTCATCGCTCTCATCTTCCCTCTCTCTTTCCCCCTCTCTCTCTCGAGGGAGTCTGTGTGTATGGTAAAGGGTGAGCACACAGGGTCAAATCCAAGAGGAGGATGAGAGGGTTAAGAGTTGAGATGGTGAGAGACAGACCGATAGTTCAGGTGAGAGTGAAGAAAGGGAGAGGTTGGGAGGGAAGGGTGGAGGTAGGTAGGAGTGTTAGATGAAGAAGCGAGGAGGAGGAGAGGAGGAGAGGGGGAGCAGGTGTGAGGGTGAAAAGGGTATGAGTGTGAGAGGAAGTTGGTGGAAGTGAGGGAGAGTGTAAGTAGTACTGTTGTTGAAACTCACACCTTTTCACCCTGCCTTCACACCAACAGAGCAAATCTTCACGCATACTGACAACCAAAGAACCATGCACTGGACAGGGAATAGCATTGTGCCCATTCTCCAGTCTCCCTATTCAACTATATGAACTGGCCACAAGCCTTCAGATGAGGTGGCATCAGATCTGACACTCCTAACACCTACAGTGTCAGGGAGGGGGGCAGCAGAATAGGGTGAATAGGCCTGGGCATGTATGTCAAAGTAAATGTAAAGTAGTGCTGTAATGTGAGCCTGCTGGGAGGCGCTCTAGGAGGACATCCTCATTGTAATGGCTGGAATGGAATAAGTGAAACGGTATCAAACAAATCCAACATATGTTTGACTCCGTTCCATTTATTCCAGTCCAGCCATTACAATGAGCCCGTCCTCTTATAGCTCCTCCCACCAGCCTCCTCTGGTAGTGAGGATATAGCTGCCTATGGAGCTGGTGGATGCAGGGTCGCCATGGCAAGCAGGCTGCCTGAGGCGATGGTGCGTGTGTGTGCATGTGTATGTGTGTGTAGGATGGAGCAGGCAGGCGGGTGGGCAGGCAGGCAGGGTGCTTGGCAGTAGCAGTGGCCGGCTAGGGCACTGACTGACTGGCTGGTCTGTCTGCTGGGAGCTGATTGTGCTGGCTCTCATTATCCGGCCAGTGGGCCTAATGGAGTGTGACAGCAGCGTGCGGCGCACTGGAACTCTGTCCTTCCAGCCCTTAAAGCCAATTAAACCCACTCCACCCTGCCAGCTCCCGCCTTCCTCCCTGCCAGCTCTCCCTAACTCTCTCCCTCTCTGCAGCCCCTTCTCCATCTGTGCCTACTCCACTCTTTCTTGCCCACTTCTCTCCATCCTTTATCCCTGCCCATCTCTCTCTCTCTTTCTCTCTCTCTCTCAGCAGCTCCTCCATCCCTGTAGCCCTGTTCTAAAGCGGGGCTCCTTGGGGGAATGTACTGGGCCAGAGAGGGCCTAGCCTGCTTCTGCACCACTGACAGCTCTGTTCTTCTTCTCCCCAACCCACAGAGGAGTCACAACCACTTAGAGAGGAGAAATGCCTCCCAGCATCCAAAAACACACATCCTCCATTTATCACAACCCAGTCACTGGAGGGGAGCGAGACGCCTTCTTCCTAAATGTTTAAATACAGCTCCTGGAGAAAGAGAGGTCATGACAAACATAGTTCTGACAACGTGCCTCATCCAGTCTTCTGGGTGTAATTGGTGAAGTAGAGAGAACATGGTGAACCCTAGCCACCACAGACCTAGTGGCCATGTGAAATATTCACTAGTCTTTTGCAGCCCTCTCATAGTATTGTATCATCAGGCTGTCCCTCAAGTTAAGAGCCTGTGTAGCTGCATACCAGTCAATAAATCATGAGATGACGGTGTGTTTACTGACTGAGACAGTGTACTGTACCTGTTTTGAACCAGCCGTCCTCAGTGAAAGACTCCCTGGTGGCCTCTGGTTTGTTCCAGTACTCTGTGAAGACCTGGTCTCCTCGCACCATCAGCTCCCCCTCCTTCCCCTCCAACCCTGAACGCACCTAAAGAGACACACACACAAGTGGATGGGTAAGACAGACAGGGTCCTGGACATGCTAACTGTATATGTTTTTTAACAACATTAATATACTCCTCAGACTGATTAATATACTCCTACTGTATCTATGGATGTGAGTGTTTCTGACTACTGAATACCTGAGTTTCTCTGCTGTTGCCCTCGGCGATGGTGGTGCTGGTTGCGTTCGTCATGACGATGCGAACCTCCACTCCTGGAAGAGGGACACCGACTGCACCTGCACACACATAAACACATACAACGGTAAATACTCACATCATGCATACACAATGGAACTAATTACACTATCACAATTAATGCTAACAGTTTTAAATAAAACAATTTATCCCCAAAATATTTGCATCAACAAATACAAATGAAAATAGTGATTTCATGACAGTCCTTCTCCTACACAGTGCGCACACATACGCATGTGACCACCCACACATACGCAGGTGACCACCCACACATACGCATGTGACCACCCACACGTTCCCCTCTCCTGAGGCATTTTCTCCTTCTGTCTGTGTGACCTATAGAGAGATAAGCTCTAATGACTGCCACCACCAGAAGAGAAGGAAACCTTTGTGCAGCCTGCTCTCTCTCGCTCTCTGTGTGACACTGTGGGCCATGTCATTTCACAGGCCACTGCTCTCCCAATAAAGAACAGGGCAGACAGGCCATGATTACAAAATAACTCCCTGCTTCATATTGATCTAATCAACTTTAGCCCTGATTGGCAATGCCAATCAAACACACTGCATTTCCACTTCATCAGCAGAGCAAGAAACACAGAGATACAAACTTTCTTCCCATTGTTTTAAAACCAGACCAGCCAGTTTATCTCTGTTAAGTCAGTCTTCTCTCTAAAGCCACTTCCTGTCCTATCCCTCCTGCCACCATCCCCTTCATTTGAGAGTGTTTTTGTGTGAGAGGATGACATCCATCTCAGTCCCTGTCTTTTTGTTTTTCTCCCGGGGTTGTTTCCCAGTGCGCTGGGAAACAACGTCAGCGTGTCCTCATGTCGTCAGCGTGTCCTCATTCCTCCTCACCCTCCAAACACAGCAGAAAGATGCCAACGATGGGGTGATAAAAAGAGCTTTCACCCCTCAATCACAAAGTAACCAAAATCCATTTATACTTGAGCCCGAGCAATCTCTCTCTCTGCCCCTCTCTGTCTCCTTCGCTTTTTCTCTCTATTCGGGAGGGAGGCCAGACATATTTTGGAGCCATGTAACATTCAAGTCACCGTTACTTTACAGAGAATTGAGATTGACTGCCACTTCAAAGGCTACAGGCAGAATAGAAAGACTGGAGTGGAATTACAAAAAGGGGATGATGGGTGTGAAGAATACAATGGGTTCTGATAGCACTGCCTTTGTCTCAAGGGCTAAACGAGTGACTAGAAACTCTAAATAGAAGATATAAATATTACAGAGTAGTGTTCTACCCACATTCCACACAGGGTACAATTACTAACCATGCAGGGGAATGAGGACAGCATTGAGAGGGACATAAGGTCATTGAGTGACAGCTGGAAACGACTAATGAAATGATACGGCCAACAGCAGCCCTCTGCCGAAAATAGCAGAAATAATCAATTCAAATAACAACAACAACATTCCAGTGGTATTAGGAATAAGATAACATCGTATTATGCTCATGTTCTCATTACTGCCCTTTTCTTCATGCCTATTAAAGCAGAGCTGAATTAATATAGCTTTATAGATATACAGTACGTAGGTGTGTGTGTGTGTGTGTGTGTGTAGTGGAATGTAGCCGGCCCTGTGGCGACAGCCCTGTCAGAAACACAATGGCTCCCCTGACTGCACAGAGGCCCATTAACAAGGCTCTATCAGTGGGCCCATCTGAACCTCTAATTACAACTGCAGCAGTAGCCATGCCAGCCAGCCACACACACAACCAGCCAGCCAGAGTTTTCAAATGAGACCAACCAGGCAGAGAGGAGAGAGAGCTGTGTGCGGTGCAGCTCCAAGCCTGCCTTCCTCCATGCATAATTCAGCAGCCTTCCTTCACGCTGTGCTCTCTCTGGGCCGCCCTGGGGAGCTGACAGCCCTGCGCCCCCTGGAGCCCTGCTGGAGCACTGCTGCTCAAACCCCCCCACAACCTCCCCCAAACACAAAGCACAGGGAAGGGAGAAAGTGGGATGGAGAGGGGAGAGGAGAGAAGGGGGAGGGTGAAAGGGTGTGAAGTGAAAGACAGGAAGGGTGGGGGTTGAGATGCTCAAAGTCATTCTGCTGAAAGGGGACATGTGTCTCCCGCCAGGACTGGTGTTAGAGGGGGGAAAACAAAAGAAAAAGAAAACAATACAGGATGAAAGAAAAAATACAAATGAGATGGAGATGAATAGATTATGAGAGAGAGATAGCTTTAGGGTATAGCCTACTCCTCTCAGGTGACGCCAAACATGGACGCAAATTACAACCATCAACAGGATACAAATATTACCATTATTCTTGTATTCCTGTGTATTACTGTGTATATACTCACTCATAAAATGACAATACGTCTTTAATAGATTGTCATAAATAAAGTCATACTAAAACACAATTTGATTGGTTAACAGTTGACAGTTGTTTTGAAGGCGTGGGTGTGCCGGAGGGAGAGGGGGGAACTGGAGTGTTCTTTTCTGAGAGCTGTGGTTGATATTGATTTGTTTTAACCTACTTTAAAAGGAGACGGCATCACACACGCTCTTCAACAAGTGTCTCATAGACTGCTACTGAAAAGACGTCAATACGACCGCAACGTCTCAGAGCTGGTCTTAATAATCACCTCCCAGGATTAAATAGAACCTGCCTCTTTATTTCAAACACACGCTCACAACAACAGAGACTGCATTAGCTGGGCTACTGACAGTCAACTTAGCCTGCCTTGTCACAATGCTGCTTTGAAGATCCTCCACTCTAAAGACTAGAAGAGGAATGAAAAGACTAAAGAAAGGAACATAGCCCTCCAGTCACCTGAGGATCTAACCAGAAACAACAACAACAACAACAACAATAACAACAACAGCATAGAGCTTTGATACCAAGCCACCTGGAATAAGAACATAGGTAAACCAGAAAGAAATAGTCTGATCAACACCATGTTCCTCAGACAGCTGAGACAACGGTCAGACAGGGCAAAAAGATAGAGCTTCAACAGAGCCTAATTACTGTCTGCATGTTGTAATATTCATTCAAAGACAGACTCACTGTCATATAGTTACTGGATGTGTGTGAGGTTATGACGTCACTGTACAAAGGAAAATGGTGGTGGTAAATGGTGTGTGTACCTGGGATGCGAGGCCCCTTCAGGGGGTTGGACAGGGCCATGCCTATTTCTGTCATGCCGTAGCGCTCCAACAGGGTGTGTCCTGTGATCTCCTCCCAGCGTAGCAGGGTGGGCTGGGGCAGGGCGGCCGAGCCAGACACCATCAGCCTGGGGACAGAGGTGGCAGTCTGGGTCACACTCAGTAAAGGCCCAGGCTCTGATGAAGCCCTTAACATTGACTGGAGTAGATTCAGGTTGGCAAAGGGAGGGTATATTACTGGAAACTTTCTAAGTTTACCAGTGAACTACCAGAATTTTGGTGACTTTAACGTTTTTGGGTGAATTTTGCAAGATGACATCTAGTGGCCTTTTGGGGTACTCCAGATTATTACAGGTGTCTCTGGCCTTATTTACATTTAAGTCATTTAGCAGACGCTCTTATCCAGAGCGACTTACAGTTAGTGAGTGCATACATTTTTCATACTGGCCCCTCGTGGGAAACGAACCCACAACCCTGGCATTGCAAGCGCCATGCTCTACCAACTGAGCTACAGGGGACCTCATCACAGGTAAAATATATCAAATAAAGAAATAAGATGATTTTCAAAGAAAAAATGTAATGACAAAGCTGTAAAACATCATCCTAAATCAGGATTCCCCAACTGGTGGCCCATGGGCCGGATTTGCCCCGGGGGTGGTTTTATTTGCCCCCCCCCCCCCCCCAAGTTTTCAGAGCAAAAAATAAATAAATAAATAAATTATTATTTTTAAATGTTTCATTGTTGGACATAAAATACTTTAAAAACACCAGGAAATCAGCTCCAAGTGATTTTAATTTAGAGAGACAAGTATACAAATGTAAGCAAGTTTTGAAATGATTATGTTTTAGTCAAATATTATATCTGTTTGGGCTTCTTATGGGTCAATTTGCAGTCTACAAATGATTTGTAATTGTGTTCCGGCACCCGACCATCCGATCTAGTTGTATCTAGTCGATGATCCTTGTCCTAAATATAAACCATCAATTTAGTGAATACCATTGGTGACCACCCCTAAAAAGCAACTTCTCGTTTTGAAAACAGCCTATGTGGCATTGATATGAGTCAGAAACATTTATTCTATTGTCAACAGTTACTACAAAGTGTAAATAGGATATTTTTGGTTATAAAGTCAGTCTCTTTCTTAACTGAGATTTGCGAGATGATAGAAAATGGAATGAAGGGTACCGTAACAGTTTTCCTTGGGTTGGGTTTGGATTATTTCAATCCTGCCCACATGCCCACAGCTGGCAGCACCCAAGTAATCATACATTCGGAGTGCAGCTGCATGCGACCCAATCGTAACGGCAATGGTCAATTTGGTTTGACATTCAATATCCCTATGGGGCTAGTTAGGGACCCATCAGTAAATTACACAATGTACATGGACAATATTTTGAAATGACTATAGCTCCAAATTTCAATGACTTAAAAACCTCAAACCAACTATAAATTGTAGAAATTCAAATACAAGTATTGAAAGCTTCTATGTGGTAAATGGTACGTGTCTCCAGTGCCTTGCAAAAGTATTCAGCCCCCTTGGCGTTTTTCCTATTTTGTTGCATTACAACCTGTAATTTAAATGGATTTTTATTTGGATTTCATGTAATGGACATACACAAAATAGTCCAAATTGGTGAAGTGAAATGAAAAAAATAACTTCTTTCAAAAAAATTCTAAAAAATAAATAACAGAAAAGTGGTTTGTGCATATGTAATCACCCCCTTTGCTATGAAGACCCTAAATAAGATCTGGTGCAACCAATTACCTTCAGAAGTCACATAATTAGTTAAATAAAGTCCACCTGTGTGCAATCTAAGTGTCACATGATCTGTCACATGATCTCAGTATATATACACCTGTTCTGAAAGGCCCCAGAGTCTGCAACACCACTAAGCAAGGGGCACCACCAAGCAAGCGGCACCATGAAGACCAAGGAGCTCTCCAATCAGGTCAGGGACAAAGTTGTGGAGACGTACAGATCAGGGTTGGGTTATAAAAAAAAAAATCTAAACTTTGAACATCCCACGGAGCACCATTAAATCCAATATAAAACATTGGAAAGAATATGGCACCACAACAAACCTGCCAAGAGAGGGCCGCCCACCAAAACTCACAGACCAGGCAAGGAAGGCATTAATCAGAGAGGCAACAAAGAGACCAAAGATAACCCTGAAGGAGCTGCAAAGCTCCACAGCGGAGATTGGAGTATATTTCCATAGGACCACTTTAAGCCATACACTCCACAGAGCTGGGCTTTACAGAAGAGTGGCCAGAAAAAAGACATTGCTTAAAGAAAAAAAATAAGCAAACACATTTGGTGTTCGCCAAAAGGCATGTGAGAGACTCCCCAAACATATGGAAGAAGGTACTCTGGTCAGATGAAAGGAAAATGCTATGTCTGGCGCAAACCCAACACCTCTCATCACCCCGAGAACACCATGGAGGTGGCAGCATCATGCTGTGGGGATGTTTTTCATCGGCAGGGACTGGGAAACTGGTCAGAATTGAAGGAATGATGGAATGGCGCTAAATACAGGGAAATTCTTGAGGGAAACCTGTTTCAGTCTTCTAGAGATTTGAGACTGGGACGGAGGTTCACCTTCCAGCAGGACAATGACCCTAAGCATACTGCTAAAGCAACACTCAAGTGGTTTAAGGGGAACATTTAAATGTCTTGGAATGGCCTAGTCAAAGCCCAGACCTCAATCCAATTGAGAATCTGTGGTATGACTTAAAGATTCCTGTACACCAGCGGAACCCATCCAACTTGAAGGAGCTGGAGCAGTTTTGCCTTGAAGAATGGGCAAAAATCCCAATGGCTAGATGTGCCAAGCTTATAGAGACATACCCCAAGAGACTTGCAGCTGTAATTGCTGCAAAAGGTGGCTCTACAAAGTATTGACTTTGGGGGGGTAAATAGGTTAAGTGGGGGAAAAAAGTATTTAGTCAGCCACCAATTGTGCAAGTTCTCCCACTTAAAAAGATGAGAGAGGCCTTTAATTTTCATCATAGGTACACGTCAACTATGACAGACAAAATGAGAAAAGAAAATCCAGAAAATCACATTGTAGGATTTTTAATGAATTTATTTGCACATTATAGTGGAAAATAAGTATATGGTCAATAACAAAAGTTTCTCAATACTTTGTTATATACCCTTTGTTGGCAATGACACAGGTCAAACGTTTTCTGTAAGTCTTCACAAGGTTTTCACACACTGTTGCTGGTATTTTGGCCCATTCCTCCATGCAGATCTCCTCTAGAGCAGTGATGTTTTGGGGCTGTCGCTGGGCAACACAGACTTTCAACTCCCTCCAAAGATTTTCTATGGGGTTGAGATCTGGAGACTGGCTAGGCCACTCCAGGACCTTGAAATGCTTCTTACGAAGCCACTCCTTCGTTGCCCGGGCGGTGTGTTTGGGATCATTGTCATGCTGAAAGACCCAGCCACGTTTCATCTTCAATGCCCTTGCTGATGGAAGGAGGTTTTCACTCAAAATCTCACGATACATGGCCCCATTCATTCTTTCCTTTACACGGATCAGTCGTCCTGGTCCCTTTGCAGAAAAACAGCCCCAAAGCATGATGTTTCCACCCCCATGCTTCACAGTAGGTATGGTGTTCTTTGGATGCAACTCAGCATTCTTTGTCCTCCAAACACGACGAGTTGAGTTTTTACCAAAAAGTTCTATTTTGGTTTCATCTGACCATATGACATTCTCCCAATCCTCTTCTGGATCATCCAAATGCACTCTAGCAAATTTCAGACGGGCCTGGACATGTACTGGCTTAAGCAGGGGGACACGTCTGGCACTGCAGGATTTGAGTCCCTGGCGGCGTAGTGTGTTACTGATGGTAGGCTTTGTTACTTTGGTCCCAGCTCTCTGCAGGTCATTCACTAGGTCCCCCCGTGTGGTACTGGGATTTTTGCTCACCGTTCTTGTGATCATTTTGACCCCACGGGGTGAGATCTTGCGTGGAGCCCTAGATCGAGGGAGATTATCAGTGGTCTTGTATGTCTTCCATTTCCTAATAATTGCTCCCACAGTTGATTTCTTCAAACCAAGCTGCTTACCTATTGCAGATTCAGTCTTCCCAGCCTGGTGTAGGTCTACAATTTTGTTTCTGGTGTCCTTTGACAGCTCTTTGGTCTTGGCCATAGTGGAGTTTGGAGTGTGACTGTTTGAGGTTGTGGACAGGTGTTTTTTATACTGATAACAAGTTCAAACATGTGCCATAAATACAGGTAATGAGTGGAGGACAGAGGAGCCTCTTAAAGAAGAAGTTACAGGTCTGTGAGAGCCAGAAATCTTGCTTGTTTGTAGGTGACCAAATACTTATTTTCCACCATAATTTGCAAATAAATTCATAAAAAATCCTAGAATGTGATTTTCTGGATTTTTTTTTCTCAATTTGTCTGTCATAGTTGACGTGTACCTGTGAATAGTTATGCACGCCCAAGTTTTCTGTTTTTTTTGTTTCATTTCTTGTTTGTTTCACCCCAAAAAATATTTTGCATCTTCAAAGTGGTAGGCATGTTGTGTAAATCAAATGATTCCAGGTTGTAAGGCAACAAAATAGGAAAAATGCCAAGGGGTGTGAAGGCTTGTCTCCCACATGAATCTTCTCTTTGTGCCAGACTGGCTTCAAATGCCTTCTGTTTAATGTGTCTGTATTTATTTATCTGTATATGTTATTCATCTGTATGTATGTATATTATTTTACTGCTGTAGGCATATAATTATTATTTACTATTATGTATTGTATATTACCTTACATTTTTTCACTTTTTATGCGATGCGCAATGCAGAGAAACACTGGAAGAATAATTATAATTGAATTATTGTAATGTTTGTTTATGTGTCAATTAATCCCATAAGGGATTGGTTGCCAATTGGCGATTTAAAACAAAAATATATGTCATTAATTCATTAATTCATTCGAAAGCATTTAATGTGCAACATACAAATATTGTCCTATTTACATTGTGTAATTTATTGACCATCCCTAACTAGAGATATCCAATGTCAAATTTACTTTGCCACGGTCGCACACCAGCCGGCTGAAGCTAATTGGCAAAAGAAGTTGGCTAGCACTAGCTAGCCTAGGCAACTTCAAGACACAAGACCTGGTTTGACTGTTTCAAGTTATCTAGAAAGGTGAGTGACTGCAACTGTGTACTGTTTAGGAAGAGTGAATGTACAAATGCTTGTCACCTGCGAACACACACACAAGAGACACCCACATTAAACCACCCCCCAAGACAACTCTCATTTGGCCGCTGCATTTCTTAATGACCAAGCAGAAAAACGAGGCGAAATCAGTGGGGGGTTTCAGCATGAAATATTTTACACACTTTTATTTATTTTACTACGTCAATATGTCTTTGTTGTAAATGTTAAGAGAGTTAATTAAAAAATAATGCCATTGTTGATTAGATTAATTAGGCCATTTTCTCTTGAACCATATGGTCTATCCACTAGAAACATAAAACAATTATACTTTATATGAACAGTTTTTTAAAGTTACTCAATTATAAATTACCAAAGTTACCATAAATTACATGTTAATTACCAAAGATTCTGGTCACTTTGGTACATTACCGGCAGCTTTGCAACTTTAGGTTGGGGTAACATAAGTGCTAGGCTTTATATAGAGTTTATAACTCCATTCCATCTGTCGTGTCCCACTGCTTTCTTCACTCTCTCTTGAGCATAAGCCCTGGTATATTTGGAGAAAGCGTCCGTCACATCTCACTACAAAGCCTGGTCTCTCTTTAAAAACCCATCCCTTTGATCTCTGACACATATCCCTTCCCCTTCAAACAATCTATTCACTCTCTGATGGAATGAGCAACTACTGTCCAGATTCATGAGAACCCATTCGCTCCGAAGATGTCTTGTCAGAGTTTTTAAGAATGCAATTTCATCACAATAGATAAGCAATGAGTTTGTTAATGATATTCGTCCAGTTATATGAATATTATGATACTACTATTGGTGCAGATCTACTCCTTTTCTGTGGTATTGCTACTAGTATAAGTAGACCATAAGGTTCTTGTTACCTGATTCTCTCCTTGCAGACGGCCCTGACAAAGTCCTGGACACGTGGCTGGGTGAAGTGTTGCTCATAGTGCTGGATCAGCTTGGAGTAGATGGTAGGAACAGCCATGAACACATTCACCATAGGTGCCTTGGAGCTGAGCAGGACCTCCCATACCTGAGGGGGAGAGAAAAGAGGGAGGGAGTCAAAAACAGTCTCTTACATTGTACGTAGATTGATTAGCCACCCCATATTAATGCCAACAAAATCATTACATCCAGATTACAATATGTAAAGAAGATGGATAGGGTGCCATAGTGTTGTGTGTACATTATTTACAATAAATGGGGAGCGAGGCGAGGGCCTGGCTGAAGATAAACTGTCAACAGGCTAGTTTATTACAAAGACGTTGACAGAATCGGTAAAGGTCAGTCTAACAGCATTTAGAGAGGAATTCAACAGGAATGATATTGAGGTCAGTCATAACGCTGGGGCACTTTGCCTTTTAAAAAAACATTTTTTCCTAGCATTTTTTTTTGTTTTGGCAAATGTGTTCCAAGAGCATTTGTGAAGGAGCCCAGAGCCAGTCGCCCCCTCCTCCTCTTTCCCAGTCATACACAGAGACAGATGCCCATAAATAGAGACTAACTGACACATGGCTACACATTTATACATATGCGCCACGCATACACTCACGCAAGGACAAAGCTACTTACACAGTACACACACATACAAACACACACATACAAACACACACACACACACACATATATTACGAGTCCCTCATACACACCCCTGGCACGCCTGGCTGCACCCCCAGCACACAGTAGGAGGACAGTGTGAATTAATTGAAGGTGAACGACAGATTCTCCTTGGCTCTGTCCCCCCTGGGAGGCACGCGCACGTCTCTCCCTCATAGAACCTCCTCCCTCATTCTTCCTCCTTCTCTCTCCCTCTCTCTCACACACCCTCACTCTCTCCATTTCATAATTTCCTGCTTCACTGCCCCTACTCTTATCAGTCTTCCTCTGTCTGTCCCTCTCTCAATCACCCCCCATACCGATTCTCTCCTCATCTGCCACCAATTTCTCAACTTCCCCTCCTCCCTGTCCTCTTAAATCACCCTCTTTTACTTCCTACTCCCTTTAGGTTTCTACCCCTTCTCAACATATCTGCTTCCTAATTTTATCATCAAGCTCTAAATATTGCAAAATCAAAATAAATTAAGGTTTAAAAATGATGTGTCTATTAAATAAACAGGCAGAAGTGTGGACTATCCCCAGAGACATCTATTCACACAAACTCACAAAACTTTATCTGTTCAGCCACACACATCCACACACGGACAGACTAGATAGCGGGGTTCAGAGGGGAATATTATTTCCTGTGTCTGTTCTGGGCATTCTGGGCCGTGTCTATCAAGCTCAGTGGAGCGCTTCCCCCAGCAGCCACTCAGGAGGGGGGAAAAGCCAATTTATGTCCGTCAAAGAGCTGCCCTCCACCTGGGGGAGTTTATGTTGGAGACCCTCGGCTTCAGCCTGCATCCCAAACAGCCCTTAACCCAGCAGCACCCAGCTATTCTCCACTAGCCCTGTAGCCATTACTTTTTCTCCACCACACAATGCTGCAGTCAGTTCAGTTGTGTGAGGATGGATCATGACCTCCCTGCCATTAACCTCAGGTTCTCTGCTCTCCTGGACTCTGGTCCAGACTCCAGTCCTGGTATGTTTTGTTCTCTCTCCTACTGTACTCATGACTGGAGCTGGAGCCCATAGACATTAAAACCAGTAGATAGTGATAGCGCTGACGTCATCCACGTATTCCTGTGGAAAACTCCTGATGGCGCATCAAGCCGGAATTATTTGAATTTGAAGCGCTCCATATTCCTGAATGAGGCTGAATGGCACCCAAAAACTAAACACATTTTTGAGCCCAAAACTGCTGTCCAAAAAAATTGTGTTTGGCCGTTCTGGCGATCGTCATTTACATAGGCTTTCTAGGGCTGACCAGGGCTTTTGGCAACGCTAGGTTGCAACGCAGTAGCCGACCAGCAGAGTTGTGATTTCACGCTCCAGACCGGACACCGGAGGCCTGCTGGAGCCACACACCCACTCCTCTGCTTGATCGACTGAGCAGAGCACTCCTTCCTCTGGGGTCAGACACAGTCATGCACAGGGACCTCCAACCATCCACTCACACAGACACACCAGGGTTTCCGTTAGGAAAATGTGGCACTGGACAACGTGACCGGGAAGATTTTAATTTACCCACCATTTGAGAAATGTACCAGACCCATACGCATTGGTTGCGTAACCCACTAGGGCATCCACCCACAGTGATTATGGTAATTCATGTTAACAGAACATGCAACTCATGTAATGAAGCAGCCAATAAAACATCATTTTCACACATTTGCCAAAATGCAATTAGCGGGAATATACAAATCACAAGCTTGTAGGACTATGCCTATTTGGGAAGCCCTAATTTGGGCAGCACGCGTGGCAATAGGCCTAGTTGATTATTGAGTTGAAGCTGTCAGTGAAAAGCATCTAAAATATGTGTGAAGATAATGTGTCTTGAGTATAATACAAAAAAATTCAGACAAGAAGAAGGGGAGGGGTGTGTGACGAAGATATAGGCGAGTCTCTCTCCAGAATGGCTCAGCTGTCTCCCGCCAATTCTGTCACATTCATTGTTTCATTGTGTGAATTGTTTGCCCTTTTGATTGTTTACAGTACCAGTCAAAAGTTTGGACACACCTACTCATTCAAGGGTTTTTCTTTATGTTTACTATTTTCTACATTGTAGAATAATAGTGAAGACATCAAAACTATGAAATAACACATATGGAATCATGTAGTAACCAAAAAAGTGTTAAACAAATCAAAATGTATTTTATTTTTGAGATTCTTCAAATAGCCACCCTTTGCCTTGATGACAGCTTTGCACACTCTTGGCATTCTCTCAACCAGCTTCACCTGGAATGCTTTTCCAACAGTCTTGAAGGAGTTCCCACATATGCTTAGCACTTGTTGGCTGTTTTTCCTTCACTCTGTGGTCCAACTCATCCCAAACCATCTCAATTGGGTTGAGGTCAGGGGATTGTGGAGGCCCAGGTTCATCTGATGCAGCACACCATCACCCTCCTTCTTGGTAAAACAGCCAGGGCATTAATATGGAGTTGGTCCCCCATTTGCTGCTATAACAGCCTCCACTCTTCTGGGAAGGCATTCCACCAGATGTTGGAACATTGCTGCGGGAACTTGCTTCCATTCAGCCACATTAGTGAGGTCGGGCACTGATGTTGGGCGATTAGGACTGGCTCGCAGTCAGCATTCCAATTAATCCCAAAGGTGTTCGAGGTCAGGGCTCTGTGCAGGCCAGTCAAGTTCTTCCACACCGAGCTCGGCAAACCATTTCTGTATGGACTTTGCTTTGTGCACGGGGCATTGTCATGCTGAAACAGGAAAGGGCCTTCCCCAAACTGATGCCACAAAGTTGGAAGCACAGAATGGTCTAGAACAGGGCTGCCCAACCTCTTTCCTGGAGATCTACCATCCTGTGGGTTTTCAGTCCAACCCTAATTTAACACACCTGATTCTACTTATTAGCTGCTCAACAAGACCTTAACTAGTTGAATCAGATATGCTAAATTAGGGTTGGACTGAAAACCTACAGGTAGGTAGATCTCCAGGAAGAGGGTTGGGCATCCCTGGTCTAGAATGTCATTGTATGCTGTATCATTAAGATTTCCCTTCACTGGAACTAAGGGGCCTAGCCCGAATCATGAAAAACAGCCCCAGACCATTATTCCTCCTCCACCAAACGTTACATTTAGCACTATGCATTGGGGCAGGTAGTGTTCTCCTGGCATCCGCCAGACTGACATATGGTGAAGCGTGATTCATGACTCCAGAGAACGCGTTTTCAATGCTCCAGAGTCCAATGGCGGCGAGCTTTACACCATACAGCCGACACTTGTCATTGCGCATGGTGATCTTAGGCTTGTGTGCAGCTGCTCGGCCATGGAAACCCATTTCACGAGGTCCATTCAAACAGTTAGTGTGCTGATGTTGCTTCCAAAGGCAGTTTGGAAGTCGGTAGTGAGTGTTGCAACCGAGGACAGACGATTTTTACCTACGCGCTTCAGCACTCAGTGGTCCCGTTCTGTGAGCTTGTGCAGCCTACCACTTTGTGGCTGAGCCATTGTTGCTCCTAGATGTTTCCACTTCACAATAACAGCACATACAGTTGACCGGGGCAGCTCTAGCAGGGCAGAAATTTGACGAACTGACTTGTTGGAAAGGTGGCATCCTATGATGGTGCCACGTTGAAAGTCACTGAGCTCTTCAGTAAGGCCATTGTACTGCCAATGTTTATCTATGGAGATTGAATGGCTGTGTGCTCGATTTTATACACCTGTCAGCAACAGGTGAGGCTGAAATAGCCAATTCCACTAACTTGAAGGGGTGTCCACATACTTTTGTATATACAGTGTACTGCTCTCAGTACAATGTCCAACTGGTCTATTAGACAGTCACTCAGAAATAGCCTAGAGCCATATTAATATATTACAGTATATCGATTTGTTTCTCATTATGACTTCAAGAAAATGAAAGAAAAATCTACAAGGCATCCTCAGGGGTGAGAGCAAAGCATCTGCTGTCTGTTTGCTACACAAGGTCAGGTTTGGTACAAAGAAAGTGAAATGCTCTGATACTACAGTAAACCTCCTCTTTATTGGTTGTCCTCTACAGCCCTTACCTGTCATTCATACCCTTGACTCCCATTAAGTTCTCCTAGACCTTAAAACCCCTCTGACACCCCCCCCCCCCCCCCTACTCCACTACACCACCACCACCTCTCCAAACAAGCACTATCATCCTTCAATGTCAGCTCATCGATTGATCTGGCTCTAAAGCCTGTGCTGTGAGTTGGCGTGGTCAGATACAAAGCCACACAGGGCAATCCATCACCCAGCCCCAAACGCTTAGTGTGACAGTCTGAGGGGGGGGGGTATCCAACCTGGAGCTCTGCCTGCCTGGCTGCTTCCACCCGACCCCCAGTGGCCCGGCGGTATTAGGCAGAGGGGGCATCATGGACCTGTCCGTGTCAGCTCGGCTCCAGGCTCTGCTATTGACGCTCCCGGCCCGGTGCTGGCAGCACAGCAACACTGCCACAATTAGCACCGATGGCTGACAACTAGCCGATAAGGTTGAACAGAAGCCCCCTTCTACTCCCCACCCGCCTCCCGCCCCAGTGTGTCTCCACTGTTCAGGTTTGTGGAGTGGATCCCCGCAAGAGGAGGACAGACAGCCTCCACTGAAGTCCCTTACAGAGCACTGTTAGTGTTACATAGGCACTACTTACTGCTAACACACACAAGGCAGACTGCAGTAGAATACCTGACAGAACACAGACAGGACATGAGGTGGGAGTCAACTGAAACAGCATGTTACAAGTAGTAGTAGCAGTAGTGGTGTAGTATAGTTGTAATGTACCTTCTGAGGCTGGAAGGTAGGCAGCATGACGGTGGTGGCACCCACCCAGAGAGGGCAGAGCAGCTTGTTGACGATGCCGTGGATGTGGTGCAGGGGCAAGGTGTGGAGGATGACATCATCTCTGGACCAGCCCCACTCTGACACCAGACCCTGAACCTGGGAGAGAGGGAGACAGAATCATGAGAGATCCACTGAGCTATTTGGTTATACAATGTTTTCCTTCCAGTTCTTTTGGACATTTCCTTTCTATATAATATGGCGCAGCGGTCTAAGGCACTGCATCTCAGTGCTCGAGGCGTCACTACAGACCCCGGTTCGATTCCAGGCTGTATCACAACCCGGCCGTGATTGGGAGTCCCATAGGGCGGCGCACAATTGGCCCAGCGTCATAAAGGGTTTGGCCGGGGTAGGCCGTCATTGTAAATAAGAATTTGTTCTTAACTGACTTGCCTAGTTAAATAAAGGTTACATTTAAAAATTTAAAAATGATGGGTAGCTCACTAAAAAGCTTTCATGGTGGTCCTGCCTTAAGGTTTCTTTCTGCCACCCCTTATCAAACATACTTTATGTAACCACAGTGCAAGAAGAGAGTAAAACCCTGTCTTCAGTGAGCAGGGCCAAACAGCTGAAAGGAGCAGAGGGAATGGATAGTGTGCCCGAGCCTTCAACCTTCCAGGAACCTTCTCTTCCGTGTTCCCTCACTGAGCTCCCTCCCTGGGCTTGTCATTTCCAAATGAAGCTCCTTAATTGAGGGTGATCTAATTTTCCACAATTTTGGTTGAAATGTTATCCCCAAAAAATAATCCACAGCCTGAAGTGCCCCATGTAATGAAATAATTTGGGCGATTATTCAGAAAGCTCATGTGGAACAAAAGCAAAATGACACTGTGTTTGTTGTATGTGGAACCCCCCCAACCCTCTTACCTACTACCACTGGGCTACAGAAAACTGTCTCAACAGAACCCCTATTAATACCTCAAAAGAAAAATACTTCTGAAGTTCACAGTACCGACACCAGGAAATTTAAAAAAACTTTCCATCCAATTGGCGACAGGTTTTCATGCGAATATTATAAAATCCTTATAAAAACAATATGAGTTGTGTTTCCATCTAATTGACTTGTTGCATATAAAAGGCTGTGGGTGATGACGTAACGTTAGTGCATATACAAATATTTTATGCGGTTCAATTCCCATGTACCAAATAAAAAATACAAGCTAAATGGGTTTCCATCGCTTTTTCAACTATACTGATGCTTGTCTCACAATAAATGGTTCGTTATAGCCTACATGATGCGCACGTATAGCCTCCACGATGAGATTATTATGGAAAAAAGAGCGAGATTTATTTTGATTTGTCAAACGGCAGCCAACCATCGATGATCATGTCACCAGAATAAGATCCTCGATATTTATTGGAAAGCAGCATCAAGCTCATCACCTTACACTTTCACCACCCTTTGAAGTTCATCATAACTTATTTCATCTGTAGCCTAATAAACTGCATGCTTTCCCGACGAGTTGTAGTGGGACGACCACAAAACATGTCATCGCGTGACTCCATGTTTACTTTGATATGATGGTTATTATATCAATATTTGCGCATAAAAGCGTTTCTACCTACATTTCTTGCATAATTCATTTTACCGACACCTTGTCTAGCGTATTTTGTTTAGTCGACATTTGGAAAGTTTACCGGAAAAATGATCTGTTTCCATCAGGCCTGTTATGACATGTTTATCCGATATGTATTTTACTCTAAAAAGGTTGGATGGAAACCTGGTTTGTATTAGTAATGAAAAAAAGCTGAAGTTTAGCTTTCATAATTCAGTCCAACCTTCAGACTGATCAAATATTCAACATGCCTCAGTACATCATTATGATAAAAAGCAGTGTACAGAATAACACTAGTATTCATCTTATGCTCACAATTCATGCACATAACAACTGAATAATCCAATTTACCATGGCCTGGATGTTGCTGTGAGTGTGGAGAACCCCTTTGGGCCTGCCTGTGGTGCCGCTGGTGTAGATGATCATGGCAGGACGCTGGGCCCAGTCTGTGATGCCAGGCTCAGGCTGGGTCTCTGGGGCTTCCAGCAGGGAGCTGAGGCTGGAGGTGGGGGGCAGCTGCAGGTAGGGCAGCCCCAGTCTGTGGGCCAGGGGCTCCAGGGTGTCTGCGTACGGCTGCCCAGCCACAAGCAGGGAGCTCTGGGAGTCAGAGATGATGTACTCCAGCTCAGATAGAGGGTGCTTCCTGTAGAGAGGCACGGCCGTGCCGCCACACATCCAGGACGCCCACTGGGCCACCGTGTACGAGGCATCGTTGGCACACAGGAAGGTGATGCGCTTCCCATGCAGGTCCCCTGAGGGACAGTCCAGAGCTGCCTTGATACGCCCAGCCAGGCCCCTACTACTGCCATACAAGTCCCTGTAGCTGTGGCTTCCACTGTCATCCACTATGGCCAGCTTGTCCCTGTACGCTGGGGCTCTGGAAAACACAGGGCCACTGTCCCCTGCTGTAGCCTGCCTTGCTCTGGTGGAGGTGTAGGCTCTCCTCAGGACCCCTCCCAGCAGCCATCTCCCTGGCCCTGCCTCACACTGTAAGCAGCCAGCAGCCAAGGCAGAGCACCACAGAGGGACTGAGTGACATACTGCCCCTGACAACATGATGGGAGACTATGCTGCTCAAAGCTACCAGTGTTATCCTCATAAAAAGTCCATATTCATGATGTCAAGCCACACGATGGTTACAATGGAATACCTGTTCATTTTGAGAGAGATTCATAATTAACATAGGCTAAGTGAAATTGTTTTCATAAGAATAGGCGCTATACCTGCTATGGTGATATGACTGTACTTCGGACAGGCTTGCAGTTAGCCTTTATCCACAGTGACACCTCTATGAATACTGTGCAGGCTAGCCTGCTGGCAAATATCTTGCTATGCCACGCTTTTTATTTTGAAAGAACAAAACATTCAGAGACAGGCAGTGGCACAGAATATATTCAGTTTGTGGTGTGACCACAGTGATGGTTTTTGCTTCAAGTCAGAGACAGTGAAGTAGCTCTGGAATTTCAGCAAACAGTCTGTCTGTCACCTGACTTGATCTTTGGACTTGAGGGTAATAGTGCAGTTTGCAAGTTAATTATCCTGTTACTTTAACTTATGTACAAAGTTCGCAAGTTGCCTAACATATTATCTAACTTACTGAGCCAGCATGAGTGATACAACAAATTAGCTAGCTAACTGGCTGGCTAACGTAACACTACTCAATGAATATGCTCATAGCAGCTAGCTAACTTAGCTAGCTAGTTCATGCCGGTGGTTGAAGGTGAAGACTGTGATTTTAGCAAGAAAACCCGACTGTGTTTTACATTCTAACATGCGATGTTAGTATGTTTAAACGATACCCGTTTTCACAAAGAGGGCAATGTTTGCTAACCTGGTAATTCAAACCTACCGCTAATGTAAATATTCACCTTACCCAAACACCGGTTATTCTTGTGACGGTGCGTCAGAATAAAATTCCGAATGGAAACTACAGCTAGGGTTTAGGGTTCTGGTTGTGAAACACGGAACAAAGCAATCTGAGACTGAAAATCCAGGTGAGTGAGTTTTGTAAAATTTGCAGGATATATAAACAATAGTACAAACATGTCCTATACATACTGCAGTGCTTGACTACTTTAAACACAGATGTATCTGTGCTTTATTATGATGTTAGGCTACACTTTCCAGGAAAAGGTGTGGAGGAGGAGATGCTACTCCACTTTGTAACACAAAAGAGCCAATAACTTCTTGCTAGATTGTTGTACATTTTGTTGAGTTATGTTTATGCAATTTGCTAATTCTAGTTGTTTTTTCTTCAGTTTCTTCAGGATTTGTTTTCCTGGATCAAGAGTGGGGAGGAATCAAGTGGTAGAAGACTTCACTGACCTCTTAATATAACCTCTATGACTGTGATTAACCCATTAATGAATGTAAACTATGTCAAATCTCAATGTGTGGAGTTTGTAAACTTGAATCTCTTTCCACCTCCTCTTGCCTCAACCGGGTGGCATCTGTTGTTGAAAGTCTCACTAAGACTTCTGTTGTGAACACGTGTCAATTCAAACTGAGACATGGGCCATGAGGGAAATGGAAGAGAGAGGAGAAAAAGTGGGATATGCACCACACAGAGTTGTTTTGGCATTAGATCACTCTATGCCACTTCTCCAGCGTGCCAACTAGCTTGGCATCATCTCACAGAGCCGGGCACATTCAGCCACCAGCTGGCAGTCGCGGGCCTCAGATAAGAATTGTTCAGACATGGCACTCATTCAAAAAGTTTTCACTTCCCTGAACCCCTACATTGCAAACGAGGATGGCATGTTCCTATGAAACTGGAGGCTTTGTCTCAGAAAAACTCCCCTCCAGTTTCAGAAGTAGTATCGTCAAAGGGAGAGCCATTCCATTCGCAGAGGAAACGCCAGTCGAGAAGATGCCACCAGCAGCTATATAATCTTCATAGAGCATCCCTTTATCAGAACATTGCCTCAGTAATTATTCATACAGATGACACCGCTATACTGATACAACCTAAACTGTCGAATGTGGATAAATATTTTTGTTTTCTACGTTTGTACTTTGGTCACAAACACCATGTTTGTTTGGATTAAAACTGCTTATTTTCAGCTGTCGAGGTCAGCCATGTTGCTGACACATGGCATAAGGCAGATCTGGAATTCCAGCCTCTCAGCACTACATATGGAGCTGCTCTGGAGAGACGTACTGGGATGGACACAATAGGGGGCATGGCGACCTGGCGAACAGACGCTTGGCACGCCGCTCTCCTCTCAGGATGCCAGCCTGCGCCTGCCGTCTTGACGGAGCTCCGGAGCGGGCGTTCAACTTGGCCGGCAGCGGGCGCCAACTCCCCTTTCGGTTGGCACAGGACTGGCATAGAAGACTTCAGACAGGAGAGAGCGCGTGAGAGTGAGAGAGGACCCCCCTCATATCTGATGGAAGGAGAGGAGCGAGCTGGGAGAAGAAAGCGTTGGGAGTGCCAGAACATGTGTCAGGTTGGCACCATGTGAGAATGATCTTGGCAAGCGCCTCTACTCTCCCCCTCTTGCCCCACTTGGAACACATGGTACGTCGGCAGCGGCATCTGGCCGCGTTGACTCTCAGCAGCTGCGCTTTGTCTTCGCCAGTTGGGACGCTTGGCACTGCCACTTCATCAACTACCTGTGGATCCTCCCGGGCGTGGAGGGGGCGATGAATTATTCCGAGCTGCAGCTGCAAACTTGACTTCCATCCAAGAGATGCAGCTCTGTAAACATATGACTGTCTCACACCACCCACATACTAACCACCACGGCCGGACCACTGCGTTTGGGCTGTAACCAAGCGTACTGGGACATGTCTCCTTGGGTGATGGTTTATTCTAGGTGAAAGAAGGAGATACTGCATTTTTCTTGTTGGGAGAAGTTGTTGATGCTTTCAAAAACCAGCTGAGGATTTTGCTGTACAAAGCGAACAAAAATGCATTTAATCTTTTGCTAAGGAATGATTCCGAATGAATGGATGACCTTTCCACTCTCTTTTGAGTCTTTTCAAAATGATCGATGCGGAGGCACCAAGGTCATTTGTTAGAAAAGCTCTTAAAATTATTTTCAACTCAGAAAGGAAATAAATAACAGAGCAAGAGACAATCTCCTTGGTTAACACAGTGTTTATCTTCCTGCAGAGCTGTCTGGAGAGGAATTGTATCACATTCTTTGCTATGACTGGATAGCTGTGCTCCATACACTCTTTGGGACTTGACTGGGACCTCACTGATGCCTAATGCTCCCCATCTGTGCAAAAACATGTTTGGTTTATGCTGAACCGTTAATTAAAATGTCTACTATGAAAGGCCCACATGCTAGCTTTCTGGGGCAATTCCCTGAGCTTTAGTACTGTACCCTTTTCCAAACGTCAGCAGTTCCATCTCCTACGGTGATTACAGAGTACTCACACCAGTTGTAAGGGATATACAGTGTCTCTTCTCAGGATAACTCTTGTCATGTCCTTTCAAAGTAACATGAAAAGAAACCTCTCGAGTCTCGACTGAAGTGCAAAACAACTTTTTTTTCCTTCAGGATTTTGCATTAACCACGTATGTGAGACCTGACATCAGGCAGAGAATTTTGACAAAAGCACATCTTCCATTATATTTAAGCGATCCAGACATCCACATCACTTTGGAGCCTGGGGTTCGCCCCTAGCAAGCTACGTGACCTAATTTGGATTTCAAGTGCTTGTTCCGTTCTGGATTTTTTTTTAACAGCAAATAATACTTTGTAGGCGAGCAGATAATTTCTGTCAAGATTCAAAGGCAGTTCTTTTTCGTGTTCTGCTGATAGTGACGCACTGGGAGTTTGGCTCCATCTGTGTCGCTCTGACCCAGTTTAGCCCTCGGCCACGTCCAACTGTTCCGCATCCCAAACATATGTGGTGTGGCAGGGGGATAAGCGATCATCACCACTCGGGACTCTGAAACACACACTGCAGATATGACACTGGACCCATCTCCTGTCTGGCCATCTTCCCACAGCATATGTCATCAATGCTGGCCCCCAAGAATCACACTCACTCTGGAGGTGGATTTGGAAAAACCCTCCTCCTTCTGAGGGGTATTCCTTTGTGTGACAACTGCTAAAATGAGGTTATGGCGGGCGTGTGGTGGGGTTGTATATTTCTCTCTCTGTGTCTTTGTTTGTACAGTATGTGTTTGTATGTTTATGTGTATGTGATGTTTTGCCAATCTAATATCGGCTATAATGTGTGCATTGTCATTGGCCCAGCTGCTCAGTGTCTGACCTCTGACACCCCCCTGTCTCCCCACCCTCCAGTACTGAGCTGGCCAACAAACAACCATGGGGTTGGCAGACTAGCCATGCAGCTCAATAGCCAGGGCAGTGGCACTAGAGACTTTACAAATGCCCTTTGTTGGCAGACAGTCGTGCAGACAGTATCATTGCACAGGGCTGAGGCCCATTGGGGACCTTGGTGTGTGAGGCACATATGGAGCACCAGGCTGGTGATGAGCTGCTTATGTGAGCCGCTGATGGCCTTGGAGAGCTGCTTCGTCTGCATGGAGGATTAATGGCTCTCTAGCCTACTACCTACTTACTCTATATGAGCTTTGACTCAATCAAAGTGACCCAACCCAGGCCAGGCCAGGGCTGAGATGATAGCCTTGTGGCAGGTAGGTGCTGCTTCCTCTAGGTCACACAGTGACAGTATAGTGACTGTACAGTTAGGCACCAGGTAGAAACAGTAAGAAGTCTGATGAATAGGAGGAGTGTGATAACTAGTGAAGGTGCCTCCAGCAGGTATCCTCAACCAACCAGACACTGAGGGGCTTGCTCCACTGGCTTTATTATAAGCTTCATAGAGCAATGGACCGGCTGATGGTTTCCCACTTATACTTTCCCTTCTTTCCCTTTCATCATCCTTCCAAGGAAATTGAAACAATTGAGCAGGACTGACAATCAGGACTTTTCCCAATTGTACTCCCAGACTAACTCTAACTTTCAGAGATATATGTCATTTAGCAGTCGCTTTTAGAGATGAGGCCTCACCGCAAGCCACCACACAAAATGTCTCTGCTCTGTTTGGGGTTTGCAGTTGGAAAAGTTAAAGTATTTAATTCATCTGAACGTGCTGTTGTATTACATCCAGATGTCAACTTAGATTCTTTAATCTAATCCATATACCTCCTCTTTCACAATATGGTCCTAATTTAAGTAAAATTGCCAAATACCTTCCTAAATTCAAATGGAGGGATCGTGTTTATTATGTCTAAGGCATTGCATGTGTTTGCAATACATTATGGTTTATGGTTTATGTGGCCATGAGAGAAATAAATCACCTGAAACATACATCCTCCTCTTTTAACATTTAGAACTGTTTTTATTTCCCCTATCATATTTTTCTTCATAGAGCTTGACATCTGTCTGTCTTCCGCTTCACTCTTCTCTCGTTACATTACCCACCTACTCCCCTCCCATCCCCTCTCCTCTCTCTCCCCCTCTATCTGAGACTGGCACTCTGCTTGGGTGGCGTGTTCACAGAGAGACAGTGCCATATGCTGTCTAGCCTCCCATGGAGAATGTAACAGTACCAGCTCTGCTGCAATGCTGTGGCTGGGACTGTGGCTGTACATGGAAGAGTCTATCATCACAGTTTATATACTCTCTAAAGGCTCATACATGCTTAACAAGTAATCAAGCATTATAACTTTTTACTGTTAAGTGTTAACCTAAGGGTCTTTATGTAAGGGGAATAGTATAGTCAATATCCAGGATTTCTTGGTAATAATCTGACAGCCAGACATACAGTTAACTTGTCCCTCCATCCAGCAACTTCACACACCGTATCTACAGAGCTCCTCTCTAATCCTACAGTGGATCTTCATCATTGTCCTCTAGTTCTGTGTCCTCACCTTCTCTCTGTGGCTGGGGGCAGACTCCTCTGTGTAGCGGTGCACTGTGACTGCACCCTCTGCTGTTGTGTTCATTCTGTGAGCTGCCAGCTCCTGCCAGACCACTCCCATTTTTCAACAAGGGAGCCTCAGAAAGCCATTCATACTAGTGAACACTTCACATCTGTCGTAAACAACCAGAGAGCTGTTGGGATTGATTCTTGAAAATGGTCCACCTTGTAGGGAGTGGACCTGTCAATGCCTCCCCACAGTCTTCAAAAATTCATCATAGGCAGTGATGTGAAAAGCTTTTGTTCAGAGGCTCCGTATCTCAAGTCTTAAAGATGCTCGGAACTTTTTTTTTCCCTCTGTGTACTTTGAGTGGTGGTGGTGGGGGAGGAGGAGGGGGTGTGTAGGTAGAGGATGTGAGTGTGTGCGTTGAGGGGGATGCGTGTTCAGAATTCATCTTGTCTGTGTATTCATTACCACTTTGCATTTCAAGCAGAGGGTTCAGTGCTCCACTA